ATTGTTTGACTTCTTTTGATTCGTCTCTGGTATGATAGTGATCAGGGTATAAGTCTCTGATTGAGAGATGATCTGGCTCTAAACCCTTTCAATCATAATAAGAGTCTGGGAGTGTTAATGTACTAGATACCTCGAGATCAATACTCTTAAAAAAGGCAGTGCATATCTTAACACCTTCTGATAATCCGGAATATGGTCTACCAAATAAGATAATCTCATTCTTGATCAGTTTACAGTAACTGTTCACTTCTTCGAATACATTCTCAATAGTTGGCGTGAAACATTTTGTCTCTTTATCCTTGTCATCACTTATCCTTTTCAAGATATCATATGAATTCAAAGCAATCACTTCATTGCCTCTTTTCTTTTCCTTTGAATAAGGAATGAAATCATAACTATCAAAGATAATTAGAAATACATAGGTGACTATCCTATCTGTTTCAAAAATCTTCTTATCAAACCCAAAGTATTTAATCTCACAGGAAATCTTTTTGATATCTAATACTGTTTCTTCAAGAACTTCTCTTGACATAGCGAAAAATATATCTTCCTGTTTGTATAACATTTCGTATTGTTTATCATAGATTAGTAAATCATCACCAGTAATCGTATCCCATTTCTTTAATTTAACAACATGTTCGATATCAAACCCGTCTGGAGCATCGAATACTTTCTCGATATCCTCATTGTTTATTTTTAACTGAATCTCATTGCCTGTTTTTAATCCATCCATCGCTTTCTTCGAAATCTCAAATTGCATTTCTCGCTTTCCTCCAATGGGTGAAATTTTAGATTTATACTGTGAATTACCCTGACTGCGTGATTCAAAGATAAACTTATTTATACGCTTGTCGTATAAAAATATAGATACAAATCCATATTGTTTATGTCTATTATTTCTACGTTTAATTCTATATTCATTAGTAAATTCTGGAATCTCCTTTGAAAATAATTCAGAATTATCTTTACGTTTAGACATTTTTAATTTGGAACAAAAGATAAATATGTAACTTTATTTATAAGATAAAATTATTATAATTGATGTTATACAGAAGCTAAATATATTCTATTCTTATGAATTCAATGTATTACAAAGTACATAATTCACATGAATTACTATTGGTACAAACAGGCGGGTTTGGGGATGAACCGGTTTTGATATCCAATGATCTGGATGATGACATCGATCTTGTATAGTATACAGTCTTCAATCCTCCTTTCTATGCTCGTATATGGGAATTAAAAAGTCATTTGATCATTGATTCAGAATCACCCGTAGCTATGTAATTATTTAAACTTTGTGATTGGTCGA